AGATTAACCTTCAGGGTGGATATAGCTCGCTAGCAGCCTCTCACCGAGGACCTATCCACGTCATCATTTACTCAGAATGCTTTGTGTGTAAATAAAATGGCCCGTCCATGTTAAAATATATTTTTAAAAATTTACAAAACTAAACAGCCTACAGTATTTTTACAGTCTTTATTTTACAGTTAAAATTAATGTTTATCAAATAAAGTCTAATGTTACAACTAATCGGGGATCCCTTTAAGCAAATTGACTGAGATCATTCTGTCAATGCAGATAGAGTAATAAAAAATAATTGAATAATCAAAAATCCAGTATGGAATTAGACTGAGAAATTGGAGTATGGTGGCAGAGATTCACAAATAAACACACATATATCACCAAAGCCAACAGAACAGCTGTTTAGACTGCACCTGCCCTGAATAAATATTTCAGATCAGTTTGCTGCTGAAAGTCAGGCTTTGGCTTTGTTTGTTCAAAGTCTTTTTTTCTCCCTTGTGTTTAGCCATTAGTTGTTTATGCCATCAACCACTTCCCCTCAGCCAGTTTCTGCTCACTCAGTCAGCCTGCCACGCCCACTCAGACCTGCCCCTGCTTTCATTAGTCACAYCTGCAGACACTTCTCCCATCGGCCGCCGGTCCGTGCAGTCCGTCCGTCTCTCCACTCACCAGTTGAYCATTCTCGTGCCAAGTCCGGTCTCTCCTTGGGTGTCTGCCTGTATATTTATGAGTTTAAAGCTTCATTRATAATAAGATTTAGTTTCGGGTTCAAACCCCACCTCTAACCGTGACATGCTTGGAGTCAGATGGAGGTCTTTGACATCTGAGTACAACTCATGCTGGGTGACAACCAGAGTTTAGTCTGAATTATTAGTTTTTAAAAAAGGTTTCGGCTTAGCCAGCTGAGCACATCTTCATCACCTTTCTGTGTTTAGATCTGTGAGTCATCTGGGTTTTTTTTTTCTTCGCATTTGGGAGAATTGATGGGCAAAAAAGTGTTTTCCTGGTGTTAAGCAAAACATGTTTTTGAGGTAAATCATCTTATTTCTTTGTGTTGATTAGATAAGTTACCCCACCCCCCCCCAAAAAAGTGACAAAACAAGTGTTTATAGAGCAGAAGTCATATTTTACAACATGTTTGAATGTGATGGAATCTCACGCTTGTTTCAGGCGTCTTCTCTCCTCCACCGTCTCTCTCTCTCTCTTTTCTAGCTGCTGATCAGCATTTGAAAGGCAGCTTTGACAGTGAGAAAGAAAGTGAGTGAATGAGAGAAGTGGGGTGGGGGGCACTCGGTTGTTCATGGAGGTGGGGGTAAACGAAAGCATGAGGGCACAGCGAGTTAGGGAGGGAGGGCCGAGGAGAGAGAGAGAGAGACTGAGGCGAGGGGGCTGTACAAGCATGCCTTTTATATTTACTAGTGACTGGTGAGGGAGGGAGGGAGCAGCTGAAGGCAGAGAGACAACCGGTGTGTGCACGGCTTTCCCAAGAGGAAATGAAAAGAAAGAAGCTCAGCGAGGAGAGAGTGAATGAGTGAGCGGCGGAGAGAGAAGGAGGCAGAGGAGGGAGGGAGGAGGGAGGGAGGGAGCATGCCGGCTGGAAGGAGGGAGGGAGACGGAGAGAAAGAGATTTTCACACTGGCTGTGTCCTAATCCGAGTCCATCTCTGAGAGAAGCAGCGGAGCAGAGTGTTAGTGAAGTGAGTTACACACACACACACACACACTCACACACACAGAGGCATCATCTCCATCCTTTGCTCTGTCACAAACACACACACTCTTCCAACGAGGGAGTCCGTGATCATGCGTCCGGCTGCGCGGCCACGGCTTTTGTGAAAGTGTGAGGGTGGTGGTGGTGGTGGGGGGGACTGACGTTGTCCCGGTGTCCCCCCCACACACACACACCCACCTCTCTACTACATCCTCACCCATCTTTGGATCACACACACATACACTGTGTGTCTGTTTGCTGTGTTTAAGCTCGAGGCGCTGCTGGTGGCGGAGGTGTCGGAGGCGGTGTGCTGGGGTGGTGGGCACTGCCAGGGCAGAGCAGGGGGCACCGGAGAGGAAGAAGAAGAGGAGGAGGAGGAGGAGGAGGAGGAGGAGGAGGAAAGAGACAAAGTGGATCAGATCAACAGCAGCGGACTGGAAATGCCCGTCAGGTAAGATCTAAAAACTTATAGTCAACACTCAAAGTTTTCATCCTCTCAACTATTTTATTATTAAAAATAACAGCTGAGGTTTTTTTAAGTTCCTTTTTAAAATCCCATTTGGATAAATAAAAAGAACCTGCAAAGCGGTGAAAAGTTTTCTTCATCACAAACAAACTGTTCAGATTGCTGCACAGGTTAGTTGAAAGGTTTGTATTTAGAGGCAGAAAACTCACAAGTTTTAATTGTTCAACAGGATACCTGAACATTTCATTAAAYGGGAAGAAAACTGAACTGATTTCCCTCTTGGTGTGCACGGTCAGTTTAAATAAGTTGCTGTTCTGATAAGTCCATGTTTTGTTTAGTCTGCGTGTTTGTGTTTGAAGATATGAAGCGGTCGTGTCCACCTGCAGAGGCAGAACTGGTCACAGTTTCCTGGCTTGTTGGGAACGTTCACTGCCTTCAGGGTGTTTTTTTTTCTGCAGCAGGTAGTCCAAATTGGCAGAAAGATTGTGACAAACGCAGATTGTTGGCTGCTGCTGTCGAGTAACAGGAAAAAAAACATCACAGAATACACTCGTGTTCTCGTTTTTATCGTTTGTGTCAGAGGCTCAGTGTTTATAGAGGAACCGGTTGATTTTTAMGCTTTTAGGAGGATTTTTTCCCCTCAATGTAGATGTTTATCRATTCTGTTTACATTGTGCGTTTTACCCTTTCCAAAAACTAAAAAAAAGTGTGTTTTCCTGTAAATTGCGCTCCATTTCCTGCGTTGCCAACAAGATCATTTGCATCCACACCTGCTGAGACTGCAGGTGCTGCAGATAAATTCCCAGCAAATAGCAGCCTGCAGTGTGGAGGAGTCACTGGTTCAGGTGTCAGAATGTTTGGAGAAGTGGAATGAATCAGCATCTGTTTTTTTTTCTTTTTTTTTTTTTGCGGTCTAGTTGTTTCTTTGTTTTAAGTTGTTCTCTGCTTTAATAACAATATTTAACAAAAGGAAAGTGGTGAATGTTTCTACTTAATGCTTGGCTTCTCTTCATTGAGGATTTGGAAAACAGGAAGCGGAGCGAATGGTTTGCGTGGTGCAGTTTATACCCCGAKTCTTTGAGCCTCTGAGCCCTTCCATCTGTTTCAGATCCAGCATGTGCAGGTCGGTTTGGACGTGACCTCTTCTTTTGACCTCTTCTTTAGTATTATTAATATTATTATCATTATTATTTAGAGTCAGACTTGGGTTTGTTGGTTTTAACAAGCAGCTGAGCATCTCCTAACTGCAAAAATAAAATAAAATATCAGAAAACTTAAATGGAATTTTTMCTGTTTGACACTTGTCTTTTAGTTTTTCTCCTGAGTGGATAAAATCCTTCATATCAGCTCATTTTTGAGAAGTTCAGCAGGTAGACGCCTCACCTCTCCCTCTTTTCCTCTTCCCCTTTTGATATTTTTGTCTCTACTCTGCTGCTCTCTGACACACACACACACACACTGAGGTGGTCAGTGCGCGGTGTGTTGACAGACAGCCGCTCACACACTTCCTGCTCTGGCTGTGTGTGTGTGCGTGAGGAGCGCTGACAGACAGTGTGTGGGTCTGTGACAGAGGGTGTCAGCGCGGTGTCAGGGAGATGTGTTTAGTGTCACACTCTGCTGACCTGATCTCCGGTCGGACTGTCCACTCCGGCCCCGCTGTGGCTCCTTACATAACCCCCGCTGTCATTCACACACCCCGCCTGAAGGGATCCACCAGCCTTTTCATGCACACACACACACACACACACACACACACACACACACACACACACACACTCACACAAATGTACGCACTTAGAGATTTTTCACCCAATGTAAAGGCATCCGAGCTCAACTAAAACCTTCCTTCTAGTTGTTTGTTTTTTTCATCTGTTTTAGCCTTTTTTTAAGTAATCCAAAGCAGATTTCACATTTTACCAGATCCTAAATGAACACCTTGACAGCTGGAGAAACTTTTCTTCTAAGGCTGGAGTTTTTCCCTCTTTGGATCATTTAGCTGTTCGTATCATCAGCATGTGGACTCCTCCACACTGCAGTGCCTTCAGGTCCTGGGTGAGTGACCCCGGTGTGCAGTTCTTTGGCCTGTGGTTATTTGGAGGTCAGTGCTGATGTAGCGATGCCTGCGGGAGTGGATTTACCGTCTTCGGCCTGGATTTAGAACTGAATCCATTTGGCTGACTCCTCCACAGTAAAACAAAACAAAAAAAGAAGAAAATAAAATTTGAAAAAAATAAAAATGAAAAAACACACCTGCTTTTGTTCACTTTAGTGTTTGTTTTCCGCTAACCTTTACACATATGGGGAGCGTTTGGAGGCCTACTGACTGCAGCTTTTATTTATTACTTTTTTATTTTTTTTGAAGGATGAATGAGCATTTATATTCTTGTTTTTTTGTTCGTAAAAGTTGACACTGTTCAGGAGCTTTTCGTCACATTTTCCAGACAACTTTGACTAAAAAGGGGGGAAATTATTACTTGAGTAAAAGACGTAAAAACTGGATAAAGAGCTAAAGCAGTTAAATATTGATGCACCTGTTATTCTAACTGAACATGTGCTGAAAGGTCATCTTGTTAGTCCAGAGCAAAATCCTCAGTTTGGGAGACAAAAGCCTCGTTTTCAAGATTTTAAACTTGTTGAGCTTTTTGTCTGGTTTTAGAGTCGAGAATCAAGTCCTTTTTCATGAGAAAAATAAGATGATAAAAGCAATTAAAACGAGCTTTTAGGGCTTTTTTTTCCTCATACAGTACATGCACAAGAATCAGCGCAGCGGTTTGACTTTCAGTCCTGCAGGTGCAGCTGAGCAGTTGTTTTGTGCGCGCCGAGGCCCAGGTAGATGTTAATGATGACGGACGTGGATTGGGTCGGCGGTAGCTGCACGCCTGTGAGCAGCGGACATCAAAGCCCGCTCACCCTCTGTAATAAAAGAGGAGGAGGGAGGGGAAAGGTATTGATTACCAAGGCTGAACATTAACAAATCTCTTTTTTTTCTCCTTTATTCCCCCCATCCACATCTACATCCATCCATCATTTTTCTTCCTCTATCTTTTTTTCCTTATTTGCCTCTGCTTATGCTGCCTCCATCCACTCCTCTAACCCTCTGTAATCATTTATTTATTTGCTGATCTCTTTATTCTTTCACTTTACGTCCGCTATGTAACTGCGTGGACCGTRATCACCCCCACCCTTTACGCCTCTTCTTCCTCCTCATCGCTGCAAAGATACCTGGGAGGGGCGGGTGGGGTCACACTGGTCAAATCTAACGGCGTATTGATTCCATTAGATAATTAATGACCCAAAAGCAAGGGGCCGTGGTGGAGCAGAGTGGGGTTTAAAGGAAAGGGATGAGGGAGGTGTAGACGTTAGGAGAGATGAAGCGGGGGGGGGGTGGGGAAGGGGCGGGGGGGGGGGGGGGGGGGGGGGGGGGGGGGGTAAGGGCTGTGACTGTGGGAGAGGGGTGGCGGACGCCAAGGCCTTTGAGAGTCAGACAGAGCCTTGGATTGAGAACGATCCCCKATCGTCAAGGTCAATCGCAGCCGGAGCTTCGATACGGAAGCAGAATGCCGAGCAAAGTCGGGAGTAGTGAGCTAGAGGGGGAGAGCGGGTGGAGGGGGAGCAAGAGAGAGAGAGAGAGAGAGAGAGAGAGAGATCTTCATGTCCAGCAGCTGTCGATTGATCAGCGGCTGAGAAATTGTACATTAAAAAGTGTTTTGACTTCCAAATCCTGAGGTCCGACCGCGGCCGTAATGCATGATAAGTAGTTTTCAGCCCTCCAACCAGAATACCAAACTTCTTCTCCCCCGACGCTCCAGACACTCATTTACAACGACTCAACAACATGAAAGGCCAGATAGAAAACTAGCTGCATCAAGAATTCTGTCCGTGTTACTCCCAACCATGTTTTCGGCATCTTCCATGATATTGAGCGCTCTCTGTTTGATAAAATATTATTCAAAGGAATATCTTAGATTGCTGTTGTGGGTGCGTTTCGCTTTCACCTTCGGTTGGAGATAATTACAGAGGAGCGGGCTCTGGTTCACGAGAGCTGTCGAAAAACATCAGGATCAGTAAAATATAACCGCAGTGATTGGACTTTAAACATTTAGTTTCACTTATTTTAATGGGTTTTTTTTTCTGTGAATTGTGGGATTGTACTTACTTGTAGGACTTCCCAGCGAATTAGTTAAGTTTGATGTGAACAGTTGTGAGACAACAATCTGCAGCTTCCTGATCAGCATCAAAAAGTGCAGCTAAAGCTTTTAATATGACATTTCATAAGAGCAATTGCAAACTTTTCCATTTTCGTTTCGTGGAGTGGTGACCCGAACCACTGTTAGCTGAAGTAAACAAACATTCCCTAAAGGCTAATTAAACACGAACATGTTGGCGACACAAACAGCTTCAGCAACATTAAACTAGTTTTGTATTTTTAGGGCAATGAYCTTCTGCTTTGATTCAGCTGTGACAAAAATTAGGTTTCAGTCATGGACAGGTTTACCAAGCAGGTAGTTGTCTTTGATTGTAAGGTTGTGGGTTCGATCCCCAGCCCCTGCTGCATGCAGAAGTGTCATTTGGGCAAGATGCRGAAACCCCCGCTAAAATGGTTTTAACACAACAAGATTGTTTTAAAAAGTGCTGCAAATAAAGAGTAAAATTATTTAAATAAAAGCTCTGTATGAATGAGGAAAGTGTTTGCAGCACCTGGTGAGGGTTTTGAACCGTTTACCGTTTTCAGAGATCATCTAAAGACCACCTATTTGYGGTTTTAAGTCCCACAGTCAGAACCACAAACTTCGACAACCAATGAATTACAGCATTCGATTGGTTGATAAATATATCATCAAGACAAAACCTTTCAAATCTTTTGAAGTGTAGTTCTGTGGAACATTATGAACTGTTAATATCTTACCTGTTATAGACATCTTTCAGAATGAARTCAGTTTGGTTAACTTAAGTAGAATTCTGATAAGCTAACAGCTGCTAGTCAT